ACATTGCTGAAAATTCTGTTATAGGAAGGGTCGAGTCAGCCCTGCCAGAAGTACGGATTTTTTTGCCCATATCTATTTATCTAATGCCGAATTTCCACTAGGCATTAAAATGACAAAAAACTTATCCCATTTAAAAAATATCCAAGTGGAAATGAACTTAATGACTATTTTTTTAACGTAATGAAAGGATTATTTTTTAATGCCTGACTTTGTTATTTGTAATTTTTACCATTTAATGCCTAGTGGAAATCCAGCATAAGTCATGACACTTTTATCCTTATAAAAAATTATATGTGGCAGCACTTGCTTGTTTAATCCAGATGTTTGGCCTGTTCCCGTACTACAACATTTAGTCAGAAGTAGTTCAGAGGATAGTACTGAATAAATTATAAATTTGTGTACGGGATCGACTTCAGACTCTTTCTGGCTAAATCCTGGAGTGCGGGAATATTTTACTTAAAAGCTCAAAGCATAAAAAATGCAAGAATGGAGGATTCTGACGCTGAAGAAGTTTCTCCACAGAAATGCGGTTGGTTGGTTTGATTGGTTTAAGTGGATTGTCACCCTGGTGATGAGCAATTAGCAACATAGTTGCCAACTTGGTGCTTTAAGCACTAGATTTAGTGCTTTTTGAAAATTAAAACGCCAAAAAAAAAATACTTAGTGCCTAGTGCTTTTTTAGTGCTTTTTTTGAACTAATATTACTCCGAGATAGTTAAAATCTGAAATAATTTGAAATAGTATAAGCTGTGGTGTCTCATGAAGATGCGGAATTTACAAGAATATACAAATTTAAATGCAATAAAATACAACCATAATTGATAAAAAGCTGAAGTTGCAAACCCAGCTTGTTGAATTCTATTCGCGTTGAAAATGCTAGTACGCAGGTAAGTTAAGTATGTATTTTTTTCTTTTCTAATTGTTTGTACAAATTTTGATTTTTTACGACCTGATTAAAACACATCGTTTCTTGGTGCTGAATCCAAATCTGGCCGCACAATTGCTCTAGTACTAGAATTTTTAGATATCCTACCCCAGATTGCCAAAAAACACGTTTTTTGCGATATATGAGGTTATATAATGAAAACATCAAATTTTTTGCTCATTTCTACTTAGGGCATTATTTTCGTTTGTTGCGATTCGATTTTTCTTTCTCGAGATATACAGTTTTAATAGTACTTCGGTATGACGTCGTAAGCATGAGTCATCATAGCATGTGTAGAGGCTATTCAATCGTTATGAGCGAAATCATTTTGTGCATTGATTTATGTATGTGTTATTGTAAATACTGTTAATTTTTTGCTTTTGGTTAATACAAATTGTTATGAAAAAAGCATCCTTTGATTAAAAAAAATTTGGTGCTTTTAGTTTGGTGAAACGCTTTTTTCCAAGTTTTTGGTGCTTTTTGAAAATCAAAAGTTGGCAACACTGATTAGCAAGTTTGCCATTTTGTCGGCTTTAATAAAATTCTGTACGTCATACAGAGAGAGGCAGCTGCACTCTGAAATATTCTGCAGGAATGGTTTGCCGAGTGTATTTAGCCTCATCCTTGCGAGGGCTGGACACTCGCACAGCAAGTTTTGACTGCCGGGAAATCCTGTAAGATCCTGTGCAGTTCCAACTCTGCCTGTCCTTCGAATGATAAATTTCGATAATTTTTTGTATTAATCTCCCTGAGCGAGGCGGCCCATGTCCACCACGTTGGACACATTCTATTGTCGTCAAACCGGCTACTAATTAAAAACACTGATTAAATGCC